ATATAGAGACCATAAACGTGACAGACAGCACAGTTATGTATATAGTAGCAGGTTTGTCTATATCACCCAGAATGAAATGGGAAAAAATACATAAAAGATTATAGACAAAGTACAGGATATGGAAGAAAAACAAAGGAGATTCAACATAAACTCACTGACATTTTTGAGAAAAAGAATGGAACAGATGGAAGAGAAACAGTTTCAATAATATAAAAGACAACAATTCCTGCAATAAAAACCTGAATCAGCACACTAAAGAGTAACAGCAGGATCTAGTAAAGATTGACAGAACACAATCAACACCAAGCCATATCCCAAAAGTGTTGCTGAATATGAAATAAGAGAGATTTATGTGCCCATGAAGGGAAGAAATTAAATCACAAATAAGGAAGAAGTTTGGCCAACTTTAGATTTTTTTCACAGCAACGCTCAATGCCAAAAAGATGATGAAGAAATGCCAACGAAATTCTAAAGGAAACAAAGCATTGCTAAATACTTATTAAATGTGCAAGTTCAATTGTAAAGGCAACAGACACTTTCAGTACTACAAATAATTAGGTAATACAGACATAGAAGTTTTATGAGTTAGATCTAAAATGTTCCCGAAGGTCTCATGTGTTTAGAGGTGGGGATTTCAGTAGGTGGTGGGATCATGAGGGAATTTAATGGTTCTACTGGCAAGTGGTGGAATTTAGGAGGTAAAATCTGCTTGGAGAGTGTGGATTGTGGATGTGTGACGTTGGGGACTGTACCGTATTCCTGGCCCTCTTCCTCTTTGACTTTTTCTCACCATCTCTGCCTCTTGGGTGTCACAAAGTGACATGTCCTTCTGCATGCCATGTCTTTTTTGACACAGGCCCAAAAGCAGTGGAGCCAGATGGCCATGAACTGAATCCTCTGAAACTGTCAGTTTAAACAAATCTTTCTCCCTTTAAATTGTTTGTCTCAAGTATTCAGCCATAGCTAGGAAAAGCTAATTAAACAGGAATTCTTAAAAAAATTAACCCAATGGATCAAGAGATAACTCAAAACAAATGTAACCAATTTACAAATGATTTCCATTTGAATTACACAACTATAATAATCTTTCATCCACGTTCTCTGTGTTTGTCACCCTTTTCTCCTTGCTGAGACAAAAAACCTGACACCCAAAGTTAAATGGGAAAAAGTATATTCAGCTCACAATTTGTGGCAGTTTCAGTCCATAATTGTTTGCCTCCAAGGTAGAGTGGCACATCACAGAAAATAGCTCATGGGACTTACAAGGCAGCAAAAGTAACCAAGGAGAGGCAAGACTCTTTTTGTCTCTTATACTGTTTGCAGGCTACCCAACCTAGGTTGGGTGTAGCACTCACTCCCTTAATCCTAGCCAGAACTGTGCCAAACCAATCATCAGAGTGATTTACAATCATATGCTTTTAATCCCACCACCACACACTCTAGATTGAGCCACTCCTCAAAAATTCCTATGATTGCATGAGGCTTTGCGGGGACACCCAGCCAAAAACCATGACATTCTCCAATGCTGTCTGAAAACTGTCTCAGTTACATCTTCCTTTCTTAGTCTTTTAATAAATCTTGATCTGACATCATCACTTTTTCAATAATTTCAAGCATCCAAAATCCAGTGAGGTTTCTTCTATTTTATGTTAGCTTTCTGTTACTATAAGAAAACACTGGATGCAATCAATTTAAAAAGAGGAAAAATTTGTTTTGGAGGTTCTAGCTCATCATTGGGTAAACCTATTACTTTTAGTCCTCAACAGGGTTGGAGTATGTAGAACATCATGGGAAAGGTAGTGGCATACATACTAAAAACATTCACATCATGGTGGGGAAGTAAAAAAGAGAAAAGAGAATGATCTGGAGTCTCATACTGACTTTTCCTAATAATCTACAACCTCCCAATAGTCCCTTCCCTTAAAAGGTTATACCAACTCCTGATAAAACCAACCGGGGGACCAAACTTCTAATACATGGGCCTTCAGGAAGGACACATCAAAACCACAAAACATCATATGTTCAGTTTAACTTCCATGTTATTTCCTTCCACCTGAAGTTTGTGCATCATATGAGGCAAAGATTCTTCTCCCTTCGCTCCTTTCTTTTTTTATACCCACTTTCTTCTGAGACTCTTTCTCTTCTGGTGCATCATAGTGAGAAAGAAAGCCAGGAAATTGGTTGAGCAGCACTTAGGTGGTGCTAGGCTGATTTTTTAGGTTGGTATTACTGCTGAGTCATTCTGTGTGACAGAGACCCAAATGTAATACTCTCAACAGATGTATGTGTGAAGTCTTTTGGGGTCAGTTAAGGATGTTATCCTGTGTAGACAAGCAAGTTTTGCTCTATGACTACTTGGATTCCAGTTTGGTTCTTCTCTCTGCTGGTCTGTATTCCAAGGAGTAGTCTGTAGTGTGCTTTCTGGATTATTCTTGCTGCTCTGATTCTCTTGCTTGTACTACTGAAATGGCTCAGCCTAGATACCCCATAGACATTTGACACTGTGAGAGAGCACAAGGTACCCTCTACCATAGACTATCTAGCCTTCCATCACAGACCCTCCTGGGACACTCCACCAAGCTTCAGGCCTTTCACTGAATGCTTTGGTCTCCAGTGTGCGGCTAGACCTCCCACACTCTTCCAGACCTGACTCTGTGGGTGACCATTGTAAATATATTTGTATATCTTGCATCAAATCTATTTCTCTGGTAAGCACTGACCAAGGAGTCAAGGAGTTATGTCAAGGAGTTATGTCACAATTATGACTTTAGGAAGACTGAGGAGAAATTATATATCTTCCCCACAAACTCAAGGAAAATCATGTATCATTTCACTTAAATATCTGGAGTGTGGGTTACTGCGTCATCACCTCCATGCTCTGGCTTGGTATCTTTTCCAGATCTCTTTATATCAGTGCAGTTAGACCTAGAGTAGAATCTCAGTTTGACTCAGGGAAAAATTTCAATCCCACAGCAGAATCTTAGTTAGATCACAGCAGTGTCTACATGATAAGAAGTCAACAGTTATTAAAAATGGAATTATGTGGTTAAACATGATTTTAGTATGTTAGTGTTCTTTTTCCCTTCTTTAGTTTTATTTTTTTAAACCTTAAAGTAGTTGTTCTTAACTAGAGAGAATTTTATTTTACTTCCCTCACAGAAAATTTGCCTATATCTGGAGACAAAAATGTCTGGAGTTATTTTTATTGTTGTATGGAGGGAAGAGAGATTTCTACTGCTGTCTCGTGAATAGGGGTTAGAGAGGCAGCTAAAAATTCTGCAGAGATTAATACATTTGCCAGTTAATCTTGATCATGTCAATTTAATTGGCTTAGGGATCCAGTTGGGGGGTTGGTGGAGCCTGCTTGTGGATGTGTCTGAATGAGTCGTAGAGGCGTGGCCAGGGTGTCTATGTCTGGGTCCTTGCCACTTACTCCCTGGCATTATTCCCTTCTTCTGCTTCCCCAAGCATGAGTTACTTCACCATACCCTGGGGCCATAATATTTTTCCCTTGAAGCCAGCCAATTATGAACTGAGTATCCTTCAAATATGAGCCAAATTAAACTTTATTCCTTTAAATTATAGGTATAGTAATGTGTCCAGCAATAGGAAAGCTAAAACAACAGTTCACCAAAGTTATTTGAACAGTATCTTAAACCAAAAAGATGGAAACAACCAGCAGCTGCAGACACACCATTTAAGTAAAACTTAAGCAGAGCCTCTTAAAAATACATTTTCCAGTGATCCTTCTTCAAGGGAGTTTCTTGGTTTTGAGAAGACTTAGCTTTTATCAAAAAACCTCATAACTGTTCTTAGAAGCCTAAGTTTACCCTGACAGTTGTCAGTTTGTTATGTATATAAACCGTACCTCTGGCTATGTAGCAAGTTTCTCATTATCAAATGCTGATGAATATGTGAATACATTTAAAAATTCCTGTTAACCTACAATTGTCACTAGATTTTCGGCTCCTTACCATTCGACTATTTGAACATAAGTGAGCAGAGGAAAAGATTTTTCTTCTAATATCTGTAATATACACAGCATAGAATTCCTTCCTCATTTTTCCAATGAAGGGGTAAATTTTAAATATTAAAATATGTTGATAAGAATAAAGCCAACCTAGTCAAGAATAAAGAAAACTGCATTTATTTGGGGTTAATTAGAATTGCACTCTGGGAAAATGCAGGTTTGAGTAGTCTTAAAAATGTGCTCGGAGGTTTTATAAAATAGCAGCTGTATTTATTGTGTTTGAACTGCAAGTTGGGGGTGAGGTGGTTGATAATTCCATCTCTTGTTAGCCAGGAATTATGATTGGTGTTGGCAAAAGCTAAGCTGTTTTATAAGAAAGGGACTGAGTGCTGGCTCAGTCTTTGGGCAGAGTAGGGGAAGGGGTTTATTGTACGGAAGATCAGCAAAAGTCAACAATATGATGCTTCTGGAAACTGATGTGGCCCTCTTTAGGGTTACACTGCATGGCACGTCTGTAGCCTGGCTCAAAGATTCAGCTGCAAACATGAGACCAAATTTAACAGTGACTTCTGACTACATCTTTCTCCCTTCTTCCTCTCTCTCTCTTATTCTTCCTTTCATGTGTGAATATACAGAGATGTTAGACTGATGTTCAGAGAATATTAATGATGGAAATTTGTAGTAGGTGGTCGAATTTGGAGTTATCTCCCCCTTCATTGTTCTCCCTGTTTTTTTAGAATTTATTTTTTATTGATGAAGATAACGTTTATAAAAGCAATGAATTTGTTCTTTATGATAAAAAAATAACAAAACCTTTTAAATGGATCCTGTACAACTCAGGAGAAAATTCTAACTTCTCTGTTTCCTTGTCCATGCAAAAATAACAATGATACAAAATCTAGTAACCAAACTCAACACTATATGTGTCCGTGTAGTTGAATATTTTGGGAGTGCCAGTAACTCCTTTCTGTGCTGAAAGGGGCTGGTCAGTCTTATTTTAACCTCTTTCTTGTTCTCTTTCATCTTTCAGAGTGAAAATACTTACCAAGATGATGCCTTTGAATATTCCTTCCCTACCCTAGTCACATGCCGTTCAGGTGAGGTCTGTTTGTGTCTAGGGAATTGTCTCATTTTCTGCTTCATTTTGCCAGTCCTGATCCATCATTTGCACACACTATGGAGAGATGCAGTGGACGGGAGGGAGGGAAGAAGCCTTTCTCTCACACTTGCTCCCTCTTCACAAAGAAACAAAGCTCTTTCATTGCTTCATCTCTTATATGCACAAAAGTTGTGGAAATGATTTCCTTGAAAAATTTTTACTGAGCGTATGAAACAATGGCTCCTTTTTCACTTTTAAACACACACACACACACACACACACACACACACACACACACACACACACACACACACACACACACACACAGTCACCCTCCTTTCTTTATGGGCACCAAAGCAAAGCATATGTGCCCTATTTGGAGAATGCAAATGCCTCCAGCAGCAGCATTTCGTTCACCAGCTCTCAGCAAGTGGCCATTTAGGCTTAATTGCTCCTCACAGCGTAGTCCAATTAAGAGCGGGCATCAGCAGGGTGAGGGCTATTTGTTAATCCATAAAAGATATGAGAGATAGTACTTGTTTTGCCTGCGGTTTTTATTCACATGTTTGGGTGAAAATGTAAACAGCTGGAACTCTTGGCAAGTGATATGTGTGTGTATTTAACCTGTTGGTTATGGGCAAGACAAGTGTATGGATGTATTTCTCAAAACACAAAGCCAATTTTTTGTTCCAATCCAAAGCAGAACTTAAGTCAAATATTTCTGAAATCACCCAAGCACAATGTTGGAAACTGGTTGGAAGTCAGAGTTAGCTGAGAGGAGAATTTTGAACCAAAGGAGAGCAATTTTCTTATCAAAGTGCCAGAGTCTATCAGCGCATGTCACTATGGGGTGTTGTTGTTTTAGCTTTCTTCTTAGATAGAGTTTTGATTTTCTGAGGGTTTGTTTTCTATTAGTCATTTTGATGTGGTACAGGGAGAACTGTGATTCTACTGTGGAGACAGGATCAACTGACAAGAAGTGGGGAGCGTGGGTGTGTAGCTGTGGCTTTTGTGATACAATAAAATAGGCAAATACAGGAACAAAAATACATATTATATAGTTGTTAAGTGTTTTCAGCTAGCTCGAAGGTTTCCACAGTTTCTTCTGCATGAAAAGAATCTGATGCATGTCAGCTGGGCCCTGTGCTGCTCACTGGTTTCTCACCAGTCTAGAGGCTTTGCTCTTTAGAGAGGGGCAGGTCAGATGACACCCCTCAGTTCAGGCTACTCACAGAGTCCCAGTGCGACACCATTTTCTAGAGAAGTCAGACTCCAGTTATCAGTGGAAGTTTGGGAAGGTAGGAATTTGACTCTCTTGGCATCTTTTCCTTCCCAGAATACAGTGAGATTGGACGAGATTTCCGTGTTTGTTGTACAGAGAGAACCATCCATTTCCTTGTTCCTTCTTCCCCAGTATCTCCCTTTGCTAATCCACAGATAACTGGAGGGCTCTTCTGCGTGCATAACACAATGTCTGGCTTCTTTAACTTTTCCTATATGGCTCAGAGAAGGATGGGTAATCTGCAGTTATTCATGCATCTGGGCTGGCTTCCTAGTGAATTAATCTGATTTAGCTTGGATTAGAGATTTCCTTGTTCTTTGGATAAATGGAAGCCTCTCCCTGGCATCTCCTACTTTGTTTTGCTTTTATTCTCTTGCCTGTTGGTAACTAACACTATTCTGATCAGTGAAACCTTTGCTGATTTCAAGACTGTATTCTCTATCAAATCAACAGCCTTCTTCTGGAAAATGTGTGCACTCACCTACCTCTAGGTTTGTATCCGTGCTAGCTGCTGGCTTCGGGTAATGATATTTACCCAGCTCATTGAAATGTCACACTTAGGACTGAGCCCTATAAATTATTATTGTGCTTCGGTTATATTGTAAAGATAAAGGTCAGATCAGAGCTCAGATTTATTCACTCCCATGATGCATTTCTGAGAATTTGTACAAAAATAAACTATTGGATCTTTCTGTTAAAATTACATATAAGCGAGAATAAGCTATTTTTCTAAACAAAGGAAAAGAAATACCACAGAACCAGCAGTTCTTGGAAAGCCAGGCTTGTTGGAACAGACCTTTAATCCTCATTACTTTGAGAGGCTGAAATAGAAGGGTTGCAAGTTCAGTGCCAGTCTGAGCTTAGCAAGACTTTATCTCAGAATCAAACTAAAAAGGGCTGGCAATGTAGCTCACAGTGTTTGCCCAGCACATGTAAGGCCCTGGGTTCAATCTCTGGAGAATGAGAGAGAGAAAGATAAAAAGAGGAAGAGAAACTGACTCATCTGAGGTCTAAGAAACATTATCTCCAACTCCAACAATATCCCTATTTTCTGGCACTTCTTTAACTGTGATTAGACAAGGTAAAAAAATAAATCAAAGAGAAATTCAGGAAGACTAAAGGAACTACTAAGAAGCAATCATTGCATAGTGCCGCCTGTAGGTAACACTCTCTCCTCTGGGACCCATGGCTCTTTGGTTCCCCATGGAAAGTTGTTTGGTGGCTTGAAATTCCACCCTTTGAACTGAACATCTTTGCGAATAGGTGGACACAAAGCATTTATTTTTTCACTTTGAACCACAATTCCTGGAGCCTGATAACCCTCACATTGATAGCCAGGGAAGCAGCTGAGTGAGGAGGGTGCTAACAATGCTATACAGTCTTCCAGAACAGGCAGGCCAGGGCCTCTCTGCTTAGTGTGTAGAGCCCTCCTTCCTGGTCTCTCCACTGCCGCAGCTCCTTGAACAAATTATGGGCTGAGTATTGTTAGCTGTCAGAGCAACAGCTCTCACTAGCACTTAATAAAAAGTCCCAGACCATCTATATCAAATGATTTTTCCTCCATAAAATTTGGTTTTTGAGCTTTGAAAGAATCTACCAGGCGCACCTCCATTTTTCTCGCTCACTTATCACCCCTTCAAGGATTATCTCCAAATGGAGAGTGGTTTGATGGGTTTAGTCTGCTGAACTATTTGAACAAGAATTGCTGAATAATCTTTTACTTGCCTCTCTCATCTTTCTTCCTGTTTTTCAAAAATTTCTCAATTGAATCTCAGTGCCCTTATTTTTTTAAACATATTCCCTTTTCTGTCTCTATGTAGTATTTTAGTCTTCATTAATTAATTTACAGTAATTATTACTACACACTCCAAGTCTTATAATGTGGCTGGTACTACACTGGACCTAGTAAGGAAGGGATAATTTTGATGTTATTTAAGATATTTTCTAATATTGGTCATTTTAGTAGGAAGAAGAAAAGTGTGATTGTGTGGCTTTTTTTAAATTTTATTTTGAAAGTATACAATAGAACAAGTCAGAATAAAGCCAACTAAGATTGTACAGTGAAATTGGTACAGAACTTCACAGCAGGTTATCGGGATAACAGTAATAGGTATCACAGTATATTTTGTTATCTTTATAATAGTTGTTCTTTCAATCACGTATATCAAAATGAGATGAAATATAGAATACTATAGAACTTATCAAAACAGAATATTGAATAGAGCAGTACCATTAATCAGAAAAGAGCAAAACAGTAATAAAAATATTTGCCTTCAAAGAAATGGTAGAAGGAAGTCCCCTTTATTTGCTATGGTCAACCTCCCAGGAGATGCTCAGATTTCTGGTTCCCATTTGCTAATGGGCTGGGGGAGGGGGGCGGGGGGAAGGAGGATAGAGGAAGTGGGATATTTGACTCTAGGCTATGTAGCAGAAGGGTCACTATTTAGCAGGGAGGCAGGATGATCATTTGTTTTCACAATGTCCTCAGTTCCAACATGGCACGGATCTCAGGATGCTAATTCTAATTCTAACTGCTAATTCTCCCCCTGGAAAGGCTGCAGTCTGCCCCACTGCCTCCGCTTACCAGGGAGGGAAGGTGCTTGCTTGGCTTCCTAGTGTCCTAAGTTCCAACATGGCTTGGATCTCAGGAGACACTCATGATTGTGTTTTTAAAACCTTAAAAAGAATAGGCACTTTGAGGATTAATAAATGCATATTCATTCCATATTATTATGCCTGAAATAGAAGGTTATCATATTGACTTTCAGATTTATTTTAATATTTCTTGCTTCTCAACATTTACAGAAATAGTTGGGGGAAAATATTTGTCTTCAAGTGCCACCATCACGTTTTCTTTGGCTCCACCATTCAAAAATAATGAATATTTTTAAAAATGGTGATTGCTACTGTAGGTTTCTCTGAATGTAACACACTTTGTCTTGAGGGGAAACAGAATCAGCTAATAGGAAGAAGAGATAGCTTGCGACTAGCAGCAAAAGAAGACAGGAGCTAGACTTGACTTCCCTCTTTTCCTCAGCTTGGGTATTTTCTTCCTCATTTTTCTGTGTACTTTCTGTTTTCCTCTAGGCTGAGTGTTTTTGACCCACTTTTGAGTTTACAGTCCTTCTCAAGTGACATAAGCATCTGTACTGTCATCTTCAGCTTCAAATCAGAGGCAGAAAGATAAGAGCTTGTAAATCTAAGTTGTTTACAAACCTTCTTTCCTTCCTTCCCTCACCATCCTGTCTGGGGAGTTACCTTTTAATGAGACACTGTTATAGACAAATGGGATACATGAGTGAACAGAATAAACCCAGATTCTTGGTCTTGTGATTGTTGGGGTTTTTTTGGGCAAGACAAATAGTAAACTAGACAAATGACTTAACTCTCAAGGTTATTAGAAGATAAGTGCTATGGAAAGCAAGAAAAGGAATTGCTAAGTAAGGGGATCCCATGTAAGGAAGTGGTTGCAGTTTTCAAATAAATGCCACAGAGTTGGCTTCATTGAGGAAGTGATGTGATGGTTACGTTTAATCGTGTCAATTTGAAGATTAGTAAAACACATTTCTGCATGTGTCTGGAGGTTTCTGGAGACACAACTGGGGTACTCTATCTTGTTCCTTGCCTCTTCCCCTCTGGCGCTGTTTTCCTGCTGTGCTTCCTGGCTGTGGTGACATAAGCATCTTTGTTCTGGCCTTTATGCCATGATGTGTCTT